TCATTCCTTCCAGCTTATGATGGGGACTTGACAGGCTCAGCCAAGAATGATGGCCAGCCTCCCTTCCCAGCCCTAGTCAAGTGGTTACCTGTTGAAGTAAGGCTGACCTCAGTTACTGCATGCTGTGTAAAACTGTGGTTTTTCTTTTCCTTCCTTCCTCCCTTCCTCCCTTCCTTCCTTCCTCCCTCCCTCCCTCCCTCCCTTCCTTCCTTCCTTCCTTCCTTCCTTCCTCCCCCCTCTCTCTTTCTTTCTTTCTTTCTTTCTCTTTTGAGACAGAGTTTTCTATGTAGTTTTGGTGCCTGTCCTGGATCTCGCTCTGTAGACCAGGCTGGCCTCAAACTCACAGAGATTCTGCCTCCTGAGTGCTGGGATCAAAGGTGTGTGTCACTATCCCTGGGTGTGATTTTTCACATTGTACTTCTAGGAAACTCCATTTGACAAGCAGCGTTTGAGTCCATTTTGAGGGAGGAGGATGGCTGTGCCCCTGGGTGGACATGTAAACAACACCTTTGGTCTGGGACCACATGCAGCACAGACTGCAAGTAGCAAGAAAGACTCTGCCCTATGCATTTCTCATGGAGAATTGGAACTGCCAGTGGACAAGGATGTATTCTGATCATTTTAGGGAAACCAGGCCCGTGGACTTAGCAAACACCAGGCCACGAAAAAGATACAACTCCTTCTCCTAGACTCTATGAAGAGGTGGACACTCAGCACTGAGATGGCAAAGACCCTCCCACCGACCTGTCATCTTGTTAGATAGGTACAGGCACTGGCAGGCTTGGAGGCCATTGAAGATAGACCCCACCCTCATAGTCATCTTTAGATCCTACCTTCTCTCTCTCTCTCTCCCCCTCCCTCTCCCCCCTCCCCCTCTCTCCCCTCTCTCTCTCCACTTTCTTTCTCTTCTCTCTCTCACTCTCATCTCTGTCTGTCTGTCTGTCTGTCTGTCTCTCTCTCTCTCTCTCTCTCTCTCTCTCTCTCTCTCTCTCTCTGTGTGTGTGTGTGTGTGTGTGTGAACTGACAAGCAGAGAACTCCTGACTGTCCCCGGGGTTCAGCTAGGCTCTGTCCCTACTGTTGATGTGGCCTTCCTCAACTTCCATCTTTGGTCTGCCTGCTTGCCTGTCTTTCCTTGCCATTCATCTGTCTCCCTGGTCCTTCATCAGGACCTGATCTTGCCCTTCCACCTCTGCAGCTGGACTCAGCTCTACAGCTGTGCTCTCAAGCCCCTGGCACACAGCTGTGGCCGCTTGAGCCTTTCCCCTGAAGTTGGGCTTGGGTTTCTTGTCTTATCAATACAGACCTTATTTACCTCTGAGACCTCTCGCTTTAGCCCTTTGTAGTTATATATATTATAATCCTTATAAAGAGATAGATCTGCTATGTGACACGTGATAGATGATGAGCTGAGAGTTAATATTGGTAATTAAGATGGGAATAAGTTTTTGCCTCAGCGGGGGCGGGGGTTTGGGGGGCATGGGGTGGGGAGGTGTAGGCTTGCTTTCCTCTGGCCCTATCTGTGTGCTTTCTTTCAGAACAGGGACCTATGGGCTCTAGTGAGTTGGGCTCACTATAGTCACTATGGGCTGACCTCTGGTAGTTGGAGAGTGTGTGCTGTAGGATGGTCTGTATGTCAAATGCTCTGATTGGCCAATAAATAAAACACTGTGGCCAGTGGCCAGGCAGGAAGTATAGGTGGGACTAAGAGAGAGGAGACTTGAGAGAACAGGAAGGCAGAAGGAGTCACTGTCAGCCGCCGCCATGACAAGCAGCATGTGAAGATGCTAAGCCATGAGCCACGTGGGAAGGTATAGATTTGTGGAAATGGATTAATTTAAGCAGTAAGAACAGTTAGCAAGAAGCCTGCCACGGCCATACAGTCTGTAAGCAATATAAGTCTCTGTGTTTACTTGGTTGGGTCTGAGCGGCTGCGGGACTGGCGGGTGAGAGAGATTTGTCCTGACTGTGGGCCAGGCAGGACCAGAAAAACTCTAGCTACAGGTCTGTAACCTGACCCAAAGCCCACTGAGGTCTTCAGATTATAGATCCTCTGGCTGCTCCCTCCTTGTCCCCTCCCCCAAGCCTAAAATCAGGCTGTACCTCTCCTGCCCTCTGTCAAAGAGCTGGTAGGTCCCTCTGTGTGGGAAAATCAAGCCCAGCCTCCCTCCCCACGCCCAGGAAAGAGACTAAATTACAGCTTGATCAGCATGTCCTGATTGCCTGCACACAGTCTAGGACAGGCTAGCCCACTCGGAGCAGAACTTGTGGCTATACCCTAAAACCTTATAAAAGCCAGTCTCTGGCTTTCTTCAGTTTTGTTTGTTTCTGAAGGAATTTTGAAGACTCCCTGCAGACCCACTATCATGCTACACGGCCACTCTCTCTCCTAATGCAGCTCCTTGCGGATTTTGAAGAGGTCCCTCTCTCCCTTCAAGGTCCCATCACGCCGTGTCTGGTGTAGCTCTCCTAACTGCCCTCTCGTTCGTTATAAGGCTGGATCGTGTCCCCCAAAGCCCCATGGCCGCGAGGCTCTCTCTCCTAATAAAGCTTGTTCCGAAGGGTCATTTTGTGTCAACCCTTTGTGGTATCCCCCGTACTTCCTCATTGGTAACACGGGTGTCACACAGGAAGAAGTGTGCCACTGTCCTCGAATCTGCTCCATGGGCAGGGCTTGGAGGTCGTTCCTGAAATTGCTCAAGACAAGTCACTCTTGGTTCCTTCCCACGGCCTCTTTTGCCGTGGTGTGGAGAGAGGTTTAAGCTTTTAAGGGACGTTCAAAGACAAGGGACTTTCACTGTGGTGGGAGGGTCACGGGAGCCCAGGAAGAAGGCTGCCAAAACTCTGCCATAGGAGCAGGGCTATGGGCAAACCCAAGGCTGATTTTCTGAAAATCCACTTGGACACTCAACACTGCAGCTGGATGAGGGGGGAGGAGTGGGAATTGGGGTGAGGGGAGGTTAGATGTCCCTAAAATAGCAAGCCAAGAGTAGTAAGAAGCTCCCCATGGAGTGGGCTCTAAGGAGCCAGAAGTTGCTACAAAATATTTTCTTTCTTTCATTTATTTTATTTGTTTATTTATTCATTTTGAGACAGAGTCTCACAATGTAACCCCTGCCGGCTTAGAGCTCACTATGGACCAAGCTGGTCTCAAACTCACAGAGATTCTGCCCGCCTCTGCTTTCCTAGGGCTGAGATTAAAGGCGTGTGCCACTATGCCCAGCTACAGTATATTTCCTAAAATAACCTGTTCCCATCAAAAACTTTTCAGACATTGGAAGAAAAATTAGGAAAGAACAATTTATACATTAGAAAGAAGAAAGATAACAGAACCTGCCAGAGGTGAGCTTTGGCAGGTAACACCTTCCTAGAATCCACTGTAAATATGTTTCAAAACTAAGAATACCAATTAATGCGTTTCTGCCCAACCTGGGCTATATAGTAAGACCCTGTCAAAATGGAGGGGAAAAAGAGTAAGGGGACCCAGGAGTGGATTTCCAGGGAAGGAGGTAAAACTCAGGTGATATGAAGGGAGGAATAATGGAAGAGGAAGGGTTAAATGGGGTGGGGGGATGGGAGGTCATAGAAGAGGGGGCAGTATGGGGAGTAATAACTAACATGAAAGATCTTTTTAAATGCTACGTCAAGCTGTGCTGGCTAGTCTTGTATCAGGTTGATTTGCAAGCTAGAGTTATCTGAAAGGAGAGAATTTCAGTTGAGAAAATACTCCCATAAGAACTGGCTGCGAGGCATTCTCTTAAATGTGATTGATAGGAGAGGGCCCAGCCCATTGTGGGTGGTTCCATCCCTGGGCTAGCGGTCCTGGGTTCTGTAAGAAAGCAGGATTAGCAAGTCAGAAAGAGAAAGCCGGTAAATATCACCCCCTCCACGGCCTCTGCATCAGCTCCTGCCCCTGGCTTCCTGCCCTGTTTTGAGTTCCTGTTCTGGCTTCCTTCAGTGATGAACTATGATGTGGAAGTGTAAATCAAATAAACCCTTTCCTCCCCAACTTGCTTTGGGTCATAGTGTTTCTTCTCGGCAATAGAAGCCCTAAGACAGAAACCTACTGCAGAAGCATCCTAACATATATAAACACACACATAGAAAAGGAGTTTATGTGGGGGTCCTCTCTAATGGGAACAGTGCCTCTGCCAGACACCACAGGCTATCAAATAACCCAGTTCCAAGTATGGGTGACCTCTTTTCAAGTTGTTGTTCAGCAAGGTCCCATCGCCACCTCCCCCTAATATTACAAGTTATGCCTTTGTTCTCAGTTACCCTCCAGAAGTTGATGGTAAAAACCTCATTGCTGAATACACCACATACTTGAATCACAGGACATGGAGAAATTGAGCTTGGTACTGAAGCTTCATCACAGCTGGCTGGCTTTCTGAGTCCTGGGAGGGTCTATGCACGGTGCCAAAGAAGAGAGGTAAGCAACAGTCTTACCCAGGTATGAGCCCTGGAAGACATGCCCGCTGTTGCTATAGTGGAATAAATGCCATGGGGGTAACCAACCTCTGCAACCCTCATCAGAGAAGCTTCTTTTTAATACAGAGACCCACAACTGGTCAACGTGCAGAGAATAAGAGACTGTGGAGCTCGTGTCTAAACAGGACATCCATATCATCTCTCCTCTCTGTAACACTCAGATCAAAGCAGAAGATGGGGTGGGGAGATTGTAAAAGCCCGAGGATGTCCGCTGCAAAACAGTCCTGGCCGGACATGGCGGCTCTAAGGACTCACAGTGGCTGGAGCTGCATGGCCAAGACAGTAGGCTGGGCCCATTGGTTGCTCTTTATCCACCTGGAGTGAAATGCCACCAGAAAAGCGGTTTCCTTCCTCCCCGCTTGACCTCAGATAGTCTCAGAACTGATGCCCTTTCCAAAGCTTCGAAGATCTCTATATTATGCTAGTGACTTATAATCATCAAACAAATTAAACTTTTAGGCGAAATGCAATGAGCTTAAATTAAGCACCAGAACCAAGAGAGGGCAAGAGATTGAACTATTTTATAATTTTATTCTTTTTGGTAGTAATGGGATTAGAACACTGAGCCTCTTGTGTGTTGGGCAAGCACACTGCTACCCCAAGGTCAGCCCATTAGATCAGTCGCCTCCTGAAGCCATGGGAGATCACGGTGCTCTGGTATCTGGACAGAGGCGAATGCAAAGGCATGTCGGCAATCTTTATCTCCGGTGGGCCTTTCTTCATGATGACTTTCCGGTCTTCCCCATGGCAAAGCCGCTCACTGTGACCCCAAAACAGAGAATCTTCCAAGGGGCCAGCATAGATCCCACACGCATCTGCTTGCTAAGAGAGAAAATACTCTGCTGAACAGCACCAGATTTCATTTTCATGTTTGGTTTAAAGACTTTTTCTTTTCTTCCTCCCGACCCAAGTAACTATATTAGAATGTATTACTAATGTGGGTGCTGAGAATTGAACCCAGGTCCTTTGGAAGATCAGTCTCTTACCTGCTGAGCGATCTCTCCAGATCCCTACCCCTACCTCTACCCCCTTTTATTTTAAAGGAAGGATCTCACTAGGTAGCCTTGGCTGACCTGCAACTAGCTATCGAGACAGGGCTGGCCTTGAACTCACAGAGATCCTCCTGCCTCTGCCTCCCAAGTGCTGGGATTAAATGTGTGTGCCACCATGTCTGGCTTTTTCTTTTCTCTTTAATGTTTAAATTACATTTATGTAAGTGTGTCAGCATCTAAGAAAAATGGAAAGGGAAGAATAAGCTAATAAGAATATTAACAGTTAGTGTGAGCATGCTATTTCATTTCATTCTCTTTTTATAGTTCATGGTAACTTCTTAAGGTGGAACTCTGCACGCACACACACACACACACACACACACACACACACACACACACAGAGTCACTGGTAATATTGTAAAAATTGTTGGGAACACATTAAACTACATTGTAAAAGTGAAACACCCTTAAAATTGCTAAAGATCCAGCTGAAGATGTCAGCTCAGTGGTACGGTGTGCTCAGCACCACAGGAAAGCCTGAATGGTCAACCCTCACGCCCAAACAAAAGCAAAACAAAACACAAGGAAAAGAGGGGCTGAGGAGATGGCTCGGATGGCAGAGGCTGTCAGGTCTAATGACCTGACCTTAGTCCCCGGGACCTACATGGTGAACCAACCAGAGCATCCCCACACACATGCTTACACATAAGTGGTAGTCTGAATGTACACATGCTTACACTTGTGGTAGTCTGAATATAATTGGCCCCCATAAGCTCATAAAGAGTGGCACTGTTAGGAGGTGTAGCCTTGTCAGAGTAGGTGTGGCCTTGTTGGAGTAGGTGTGGCCTTGTTGGAGAAAGTGTGTCATGGTGGTGGTGGTGGGGGCTTTGAGGTCTCCTTTGTTCAAACTATACTCAGTGTGGTACACAGTTCGCTTCCTGTTGCCTGCAGATCAAGATGTAGGACTCTCAGTTCCTTCTCCAGCACCATGTCTGCCTCTATGCATTCCATGTCCTGCCATGAGGATAATGGACTAAACCTTCCTTTCAAAATGTAAACCACCCCAGTTAAATGTTTTCCTTTAAAAGAGTTGCCATGGCCCTGGTGTCTCTTCACAGCAATAGAAAGACAGAATGAAACATACTTTTTATAACAACAGTGAGTGAACTTCTTTAATACACTGAATTTTTCCAATTTCAGTTCATAAAGTTTGTATCTTGTATTTCTAATAAGTGAAAAAGGTAGTTAAAAGTAGTGACTCACCATGTAATGCTATTCATTTTTTTCTAATTTATTTATTTTTATGTCATGTGCATTGGTGTTTTGCCTGCATGTATGTCTGTGTGAGGGTGTCAGATGCCCTAGAACTGGAGTTAGAGACAGTTGTGAGCTGCTATGTGGGTGCTGGGAATTGAACCCAGGTCCACCAGAAGAGCAGTCAGTATTCGTATACCACTGAGCCATCTCCAGACCCTGCAATGCTATTTATTAAGCCAACAAATGATATAAAATAGATCCCAATATCAAGACTGAAGAAAAGCCAGTCACGGTGGTACACACCTTTAATCCCAGCATTTGGGAGGCAGAGTCAGGTGGATCTCAGTTAGAGGCCAGCATGTCTATATGCAAATTCCAGGATAGCCAGGAATATACAACAAGGCTTTAACACACACACACACACACACACACACACACACACACACACACACACACACACCTCAAAATTGAAGAAAGTCTTAATAAGCGTATGTAGACTGGTATTTCATACCTGTGTTTTAATTTCTTTAGGTTTTTGTTGTTGTTGTTGTTGTTTTGTTTTAAGTATTAGATTAAAACTCATATTCCAGGCTGGGTGGAGGTGGCACATGCCTTTAATCCCAACACTCAGGAGGCAGAGTCAGGCAGGACAGCTAGGGCTACACAGAAATATCCTGTCTCAAAAACAAAAAAACAAAAACTAAACCAAAACAAACAAAAACCTCCATATATCTCAAGGAAAACATAACTTTTAAAATTTTATAGCATTGTGCATGAGCATTTTTTAAGGAAATAATTGAGCCATGTTTTATAATTTATTTTATCCCATGTAAACATCATTTCTAAGACTTCTTTTCGTCTTGCCAAAACATATTCCTATTCAACATTAACTATTCAATTGAAATTTTCAAATTATTTATGCAATAATACATTTTAACTCTTTAAAGAAATAACTTACTAGATAGGTATGGTGGCTCATGTCTGTAATCCTAGTACTGGGGAAGCTGAGGCAGGGGGATAGCCATGAGTTTCAAAGCCAGCTTGGGCTACATAGTGAGTTCTAGGAGAATCTGGGCTCCAGAGTTGAGACTCAATTTGAGAGGGGGTTGTAGGAAGGAGAAGGAAGAAGAGGAAGAGAAGAGAAGAAAGAGAGGAGGAAGGAAGGGATGGAAGGAGGGAGGAAGGGAGGGAGGGATGAAGGAAGGGAGGGATGAAGGGAGGGATGAAGGGAGGGAGGGAGGACAGGGAAAAGAAGAGATCTATAATGGTCAATCTGAATTTGGAAAACGTTTTCAAATTGGCTAGTAGCACTGAGTGGGCAAGTCTCAACCTGTAAATCCAGCCCAGCTCTTCCTATGGCTCTCTCTTTGAATAGTCAGCATCATCTAAAAACATAGCTCCAGTCCTGTAGCTTCACTGATATTCACGACACCTACGCCTGCTCAGCCTCCAACCCTGCACATGAGTGTATGTGACCTCAAATGCTGTCACCTGTCCATTTTAAGTTTGCATTTGGGTTACTTTTTGTTTACATGTATATATGAAAATGAAAATGATTTTTTTCCGTAGCTATACATGTCTTAGAGATTAAGTTGGCTTTAGTTTTATTATCACGTTTAGTTTTTTTAGTGAGTCTGTGTGCACAGGCCAGAGGACAACCTGCAGGAATCAGATTTCTCCTTCCATCCTGTGGGTCACAGGTCAGCCTCAGACCGTCAGGCTTGGTGGAAAGCACCATTATCTCTAACAGCCACAGGCAGGCATTAACCTGAATATTTGTGAGCAGATACCTGCAGATTCACATTCCTGAATTTCATGTTTTCTTTCCAAGGCATAACATAACGTGATGGGAACATGCCTTGCTTTATTGAGAACCGTGGCAAGTGAACGTCATCACACCTGAAGATTAGGAAAGGAGAAAGGGGATTAAGTTAAATTGTGTCCACGTCATTCTAAGACAGCAGTTCTCAACCTGTTGGTCATGACCCCTTTGGCGGAGGAGGGCGGGGCGTCAATTGACCCTTTCACAGGGGTCACCTAAGACCATTGGAAAACACAGACATTTACATTGTGATTCATAACAGTAGAAAATTGACAGGAAGTAGCAATGAAAATAATTTTATGGTTGTGGTGGTGGTGGGGGTCACCACAACACGAGGAACTGTATTAAAGGGTCGCAGCATTAGGAAGGTTGAGGACCACTGCTGTAAGGAATGGATGCAGTTGTGTTCATCACATCCTACATCTGCAGGACAGAGAGCTGTGCTGCTGAGGTGCATCTAACAGCAAGCCAGCCCTTTCAATATCTCAGCAGCCAGCCAGCTGGACGTGGGAGCTCAGGCCTTTAATCCCAACAGTTGGGACGCTAGAGGATTGCTCTGGAGACCATCCAATCTACCTATTGAGTACTGGGCCAGCTAGGGCCAGAGTGAGACCCTTCCACAAAACAAACAAACCAACCCAAGTATCACCAAGATCAAGTTAGGGCTGGGTATGTGTACCCCAACTATAAATGTACATACAACCCAGACTTTGATTTTGATTTGGGAAGTGTGTGTGTGTGTGTGTGTGTGTGTGTGTGTATGTGTGCGCACGAAGATGCCTTTCAGAGACCAGAAGTGGGCATTCGAGCCCCTGGAGCTGGACCTAGAGGCAGTTGTGAACTGCTCAGTGTGGGTGCTAGGAACTGAACTCTGGTCCTCTGGAAGAACAGCAGCTGCTCTTAACCACTGAGCCTTCTCTCTAGCCCTACAGTTTAGTTTGAAGAGTGAATATAGTACACCGCAATTAGCTTCATACCTATGAATTGTCCAAAGGGAATATACAGCCAGAAAAAAGGAAGAGAAGGAGGGAGGGAAAGACTAATTTGGATTCTGGATTTATCCAAGCTCTATATTTAAGTCAGACTCACTATCC